TCTTCGCTTTCCATGTGATGTTCGATGAAGTGACCAACTGACAAGGTTTGCTTCCAAGTTAGCAGAAGAGGTGAAGAACGCCATGGTGAAAAATCTTCATTTTCCATGTGATATTCCATGAACCGATCAACAGGCAATCTTTGCTTCCAAGCTAGCAAAAGTGATGAAGAACACTATCCTAAGAAACGTTGGTTTTTCATGTGATGTTCGATGGGCTAACCAACAGGCAAGGTTTAGTTCCAAGTTAACAAATGGGGTGAAGAACACCATGGTGAGAAACCCTAATTTTCCATGTGATGTTCCATGAGTTGGCAACTGGCAAGGTTTGCTTCCAAGTGAGGAAAAGAAGTGAAGAACACCATATTGAGAAATCTTCCTTTTCCACATGACGTTCGATGATCTAATCAGCTGGCAAGGTTTGCTTTCAAGTTAGCAAAAAAGGTGAAGGGCAACATCGTGAGAAATCATCATTTTCCATGTGATGTTGGATGGGCTGACCAGTTAACAAGGTTTGTTTCCAAGCGAGTAAAAGTGGTGAAGAAAGCCATGGTGAGAAGTCTTCATTTTTCACGTTATATTCCATGAGCTGACCGATTGGCAAGGTTTGATTCCAAGTTAACAAAAGAGGTGAGGAGCACTATGTTGAGAAGTCTTCCTTTTCTATGTGATGTTCGACGAGCTGATCAACTGGTAAGGCTTCCTCTGAAATTAACAAAAGAGGTGAAGAACACTATGGTGACGGGTGTTCATTTTTCATGTAATGTTCGATGAGGTGACCTACTGGCAAGTTATTTTCTGAAGTGAAGTATGTCGGTGAACGAGGTGTTCCCAAGACTTTTCAGAATTTATGCTATTCTTTCGGAAGTCTGGTTGTGTCGTTAGTTGTACATATGAGGAAAACATATCTAAACACAGGGGTAATTGCGAATGTATTGACAATCAGAACTAATGCGTGAATAGTTGTACCGATTTTCATACCACTTTCCGCCGATCTTCCTTTCCTCTTTCTTCTTTATCTTGTCTCCATTGGTTTCTCTTTTGTTCATCTCTCTTTCTTTCTGTCTGCTATATAAGTGTATGTTTTATGTGAAGTAGTTACATGCTGGAGATATGGAGTAGCGCAATAAACATTAGTATCGAGGGGTGGCGGTGCGCTTGACTAATCTATTTTGTTGTGACAAATAGTACTGTGTTTGTTTTGATGTTTGCGTAGTATGAGGTTGGGTAGAACGTGAAAAAAATTTCTGTTATTGAATCCAAGAAAAGTTTTTCGCGCGGAGGCAAGCTCGAAAATTGTTTTTCAATTTTGAGCGTAAACTGGAATAGTTCGGCAGGAAAAACACAGAGCCTTTTTCGGTCGACGGTTACTACAAAAGGATGTGGGTGTGAGTATGAGTGTGAGTTGATCTTCTCTCAACCCATACCCTACACCTACACCCACACCCTTAAAAATACTAATTCTGATGCATTGTAATGACAACAAAGATATTGGTCAATTTTAATCACAGATGAGTTATGAAATGGTTCAACGTACTCGTTTCCACGATTATTAAAGTTTTTCATGAGCCACGAACAATCTGTTTTGAAGAAAGACACTAACGATTGAATTCTTTTGAAATATATCAAACAAATAACTGAAAAGTAATAGCAAAAGACCTAAATGATCTCATGATCATAATAAAGATAGAAATTCGAGTAAATTTCGAAAACAACAATACATATCGTTGTTAACATCGAAGAAAAACTTAATTTTTACATTGTACCCAAAAGTACTACCCTTTCCATCGTATTGATAAACTTGCTCATTAAGAATAAAAGCTTACTAGTCTCCTCTTTCAAATAGAAAAAAAAACTTTTGATTAAGCTTACTCAATAGTGAAGCTATATGCATTTGTTAAGTAATCATGACTTTTGGAACACCCGCTATATAGATTTTTATTTATAAAAGAAAGATACTTTTAACGTATATTATCGTGTACAGAAAACGAAAAAAGGGGTATCAATAGCTTGTTAGAACTGTTCTCTATCATTGATAGCCAGAATTTTTTTCATTTCTTTCTTCACTTGTGAAGTATCGAAATAATTAGATTATTGTGTGTAGAGATTATCCATCGAATACGAAAGCATAATTTTTAAAGGCAAAACTTCATCACGCTGATTTAATTTTTTGAGCAAATGATAAATGAGTATTTTGTAGATTATTAATTTTCATTTTTATTCCCCATATTAAAAATGCAACATGCACTATGATTTAGCTGATGTTGACAAGAATTCTTGTCTACGTATATTAAGAATTCCATATGTAATTGATTCATGATGATAGAAAATTATTTATATTCAAACAATGTCATTAATATACAGACACAAAAAAAAGAAAGAAAAAAGCAGTGATTTCGTATACAAAGATTCGAATTCTAATCATACAATTGTTCACTATTAGAATCAGTACATCGATAGACGTCCAGTTAGTCATAGACACCATTGATTGACTATCAATATGTCATAGAGTTGTATTGGACCATATACAGAAAAATACTTCTTCAAACTTACTCTTCATCTGTTTCAATTGAGTCTCTAGTATGAGATAGTTGTGACAATTCTGAAGACACTTGTCATCAGACGTGTTGGAACTTTGATCTTGCATAGTAGAAAATGAATAGTATATTAAGGAATGGTTAATCTTTAGTCAAAATAGCTGTCGCATTCGCTTTACTGACATTATAGATAAAGTGAACGCAGAGTCTATTTCTTTAAAATTTATTTAAAAATTGAAATTAGCATCAATTGAGTTAAACCAATGGAATATGGTAGAGTTAAATAAGAAATGCCGAATCATAACAATTGTAAAATATTGCATTAAAATCTTCAGGCAAGAATGAGTAAAATTCGCATTCATCCTCTTCTTTTACTTGTACTGTGCTGACGTATTCGCTTTAAGGCAATGTACATGAACTGAACGTTTTTAATTTTTGATTTTCTACCACTCACTACTCAACTATTTTAACAACTACAAATTTCTGTTTCATATTATAAGATGCAAAATTTTCTGTTTTTCCCCACGGTACAAAAGTAGGAGTCTAGGATGTAAAAGTTACAATATGTACCTATCTGAGAGTGTGTTTGCTTTAGGAACCGTGATTCTAGGTACTAATAGCAAGTTACTAAATAAACACGTGTCAATATATGCTTAGTATTGTCTCATTGCCTTCGAGCAACTTTCACCATTCAGCAAATTACACACTCCAGTCTATGTTGTTAGTAAGTCATACTTTAAGAGCCATCTTTTGTACTTTTTATCTCTGTGAAGGAATTTCGAGAATGTCCACACTAACACTACGAAGGACATGTCTGATGTTTTCTTCATTTTAGAAAAAGTAAGAAAGTTTGTCAAGGAATATTAATAACAGATTATCTTCTTGTCGTAAAGTATAGCTTGAAATTCATGACTAACATATTACGAAAAAGTCAAAGTTTTCTTCATGAATCACATCATACTCTGTCATCTATTGAAAGATATCAAAATGAATGATTTGATGCCATTGGAAGAAGTAATGGAATTTCTGTTGCATATTTTTCATAGTATCGATATTCGATCAATATTATTCAGAGTTAAGTAGCCTATCGATGGCTCATCACATGAAAAATTATTTGAATGGAATACAGAATTAATTAAATTGTTATTTTGTTCTTATTGAAACCTTATGTATAGAGAATTGACAAATAGAAACAACCTATGACTTCCATATCTGAAATTATTTATTGCTGCACTTTCTGAATTTCTAGTTACTAGTAATATCGTTTACCAAGGTATAAAAGTTGATTTGTCCAAAGAATGCGTAGTTAGTAATATTCACATTTGATGAAGATGTTAATTTGTATGTATGCAATTTACAAGTTCTTAAATTAGATTAGTTTTATGATACAAGTGGAAGATGAATTATTTTTGTAGTAAAATATCTTGATCAGTCTATTGATTAAAAATCATTCATTATTACAAAGACGAAAACGAGATTCTATTAATTCTTGGCAGATATTTTCGACAATATGATCATTATTGTACTCTGATCGATTGAATATGATACAATTTGATGAAATGAAACCATCATATAAGTTATTAAAATAGAATGTTCTTCCAACAATTCAAAGGAACTTAACTTTAAATTTGATTAGAAAAATTGCGAGCTCACAAATCACAGTTAAATTTCAAATTTTTTATTTTGTGTTGTAAAAAGTGAGCAAATAGTTCATTTTTTTTTCGTCAGAGATTTCAAAACAATGAATGAAAAGTTATACTTTGTCAATATAGTTTTTATGTACAGAATTTAAAATTCACGAGTATGTTAATATCCGTTTTGAATAAATGTCAATATTCTTTCAAATTCAAACTAGACTAAGAACGAATTGACATTAGACATACGACAATGAATCATAGGCGTCTTAATACGTCAAAATAAAATTTATTTATTTTTATTCTGTTTCAAATAAACAAATCAGATACACGTCATTTGACTCAAAAACTATGACGTGCAACATATTGTAAGCCAATATCTTGTGATTCATTTTTTTCTTTATTTGACGACCTCCAACAATAATATTTATTTTTGTAAAATTATATGAAAAGAACAAAATTATGACGAAAGCGTGTAGTCGGATGACGTCCTGGAGGTTAAACAGAATAATGTTAAAAGTTGGCGAGAGTAACGATACCAAATCTGTCATTCTAGATGTTGTTGACTCAGAAAAGAGAAAAGAAAACGGCAGCAGAAAAGAGAAAAGAAAATGGCAGTAGAAAAGAGAAAAGAAAACGGCAGCAGAAAAGAGAAAAGAAAACGACAGCAGAAAAGAGAAGAAAAAAAAACACCCACGTAGGAAGAAAGAACGAGATTTATCATTTATTCCGTCGTAGTCTTAAGAGAAAAGTGTATAAATAACACAATCACAGTCATTGTCGCATTTTATTCTAAAGTTTTTCTATTACCTAAAACAACAACAAAAAAAACATGAGTAAGTTTATATTGTATTTTGTTTTTTTTTTTACTGGACGACCGTTGTGTGCCAATAGGAAATTTTATAGAAGTATTTATTATCTCTGTCTTTACTTTAATACGTCACCGAGTATGATAAACTATTGAAAAAAAAACGCATAACAAACAAAGAAAAATCTGTCGTGATTTTGAAATGAAGGATGTTGTAAATGACAATCATTGATAAAATGATATTTAATATTGCGACATAATTTTGTCGCATAGATTTAACAAAATAAAACAAAAAATATCAAAATCATACACAAGAATATTCTTTTATAAATAAAAATAATTTCTGAGCTATAACAATTGAAAAATTACAAATGTGTTTTTTTTTAAATATGAGACCACATTGAGGATCATTACTCTTCAGAATGAACTGAATTTATTAGAAAAATATAATCTGTATAAATTTTCTTTCGAATAGATTTTATAACAAAACAAATTGAAAAGAAGACAGGTATGGATTTAAATGGTGATGGTGTGATCGGTTCAGGTATGACTTTATTTAACCTTAACTATAATTGATTTAGAAAAAAAAAATGTTAACTTTTCAAATAGGTTATGGCCGTCAGGGATATGGTGGTGGCTACGGACAAGGTCGCGGTGCTGGAGGGGGCTTGATAAATCAATTAGAAAAAGCTACACATATGGACCTCAACGGCGATGGACGTGTTGGTGGTGGTTATGGTAATGCCCCACCTCACAACCAATATGGACCTCCTGGTTATCCTCCACAATATAATCAATATGGCGGTGCACCCTGTCCTCATAATTATGGCGCATATGGTGGTCCTCCAAACTATAACCAATATGGTGGTACTCCTTATCCTCCACAACATAATCAATATGGTGCACCTGGATACGGAGCTGCTCCACATTACGGTGGTGGTAGTGGGGGTGGTGGTATGATTGATCAATTGGAAAAAGCTACAGGTATGGATCTCAACGGTGATGGTCGTGTTGGTGGTTCTGGTTATCGTCCACCTAACAATCAATATGGTCATCATTATTAAAATGATAGAAACTTGATGATAAACATATTTGTTGTAAATTCTAACATATCTATAAGGATATCGATTAAAATTTTGAAATGTTTATTGTGTATTTTGGATTGTATTTAATAAAGCACAACTTAGAGCTACGAGAAAATAAAAGCTCTTTGTAATTCCGTTTGTGTTATACTATCATAAGAAACTAAATAGAGAAGACTGCTTTGATGATGTCTATCTCGAAACTTTGTTCGTTGTTTGTCAATCAAATCTATGTTATATTCTTGATGTGCCTTCATATCAACTTCAATATGTCAAAAACAGCTTTAATATTATACGAACTAATAAGAAAAGTATAACAATAATCTAGTATGAAGAATTCTCGAAATATCGAGAACAAATATACATCTACTTTCAAAAGTAGTCCTAACAATTTAAGTGAATTATCACGTACTTGAATTGTCGAAAATACATTATTTTACCATAAACAATGACTTCTACTCATAGAAGTTACATAGACTACGCGGTCAGAGCAAATCGAGTATATACAGAATACCAAAACAATGTCAAATGTCCTTGTACGCGCCATCTGCAGTTTCGAAATGGATCCAAAATCATTTCAACAGTAGTGACTGTAAAAAATTATTCTCTTTCGAAGTGTATATAAGATTTTTGTCCAAAAAGTGTCCCGCATATATAGATAGTACTATTTATCACCATTATTAAGGTATTCCCTTAGCGACAGATCATCTGTGTGCGATTAAAGCGAGTGAGAGGATGCAAAAAATCCTCGATGAAAAGTTTCTATTGATTCAAATAAGCCATTATTGCGTACTTGTTGCCACCGATCAACAGTAATCTCGTAAATGCGGCTTGGGCCCCCAAAACAAATTGTATTAGAACATCTATCTCTCTATATTATTTCGAATGATGAGAATAAGAATTAAAAGCATCATTTATATAGAATTTTCTGTAACTATATAGGAAATATATAAGACACAGATTATCATGAAGAGACATCTTTACAGTTCTAACGAACTCAACAACAATACTTCAGATTGTAGACTATTTTTATTTTGTGCATGATATGTGATGAACTTTAATATAAAAATACCTTGAAATTATGAAAAAAAATAGCATAACAAATTTTCCTCTAAAGAAACGAAAAAATCGTGTCCGATTTATTTTTCATATGTTTTGATTTATGAACTACCATCTACTCTTACGCCTGTCGATGAAAAATGATGTTAATTACAATATGTTTCAATCAGTATGAAAGAAGGGTCAAGAACATCTATCTTAAGATCAGTCGTGCCTCATATTAATGCTGCATTAGATTAGTATCGTGGATATACCTGTTACAGCTCACGAGAAGAGAATGAACATACTATAAGATATCTGTTACAGTGTATGACGAAGAGAAGACATTGCCAAGGCCAATTGACTCAATAGTATTACATGCAATCAAATTCAATAATATCTCATGTGACAGCATATGAAAGATGCTACAAAAAGAATACTTACTTTCTATTAAAAAAGCTTTGTTAAAAAAAACGTTTTATCACAAACAACGATTTTTAGTTGTTGTTTGGCTTCTGGTGTGCATCCACTGGCGAAAACTTTTAAAAATTAAAAACATCAATTGCACCACAACTTATTCATTATTTTGACGAAAATACAAAACGAAGTAGTATATCTATAAAGAGTCACTATACTATCTATATGTTGTGCTCTTGATTCTAGTGATGATATTTACATCAATGCACACAGTATCTTTTATATGACATGTGAGTCTTTTCAAAAGTTACTTGTTCTTATTACCTGACTATTTTGCAATGATAAAAAAGTGTTTTTTGAATTATTTTTTCTGTTAAACTTCTATGACCTCCAATCTTTCGAATAAATAACATCAAAAGAATTCAGTTCATGCACAATTTATAGAGATGAGTTTTTTCAAACTTTTTTTGATTGAAGAATCAGGAAAAGATCTAACAAAATTTTGCAAAAGATGATATCGATAGAGTTTTTAATGTGTTACATTTTGGTGTATTTTTGTTCCGATTTGAGCTATTCATGTAACTCAAATTGATTCAGAAATACATACTTTTCAAGTTTGAAAAACGTTACAAGAACTCTTGTAGAAGTATTTTTCTTCTTGGCTTAGAAGTCGATAATATGGTGTAATAGAGTTCGATATTTTTTTTTTGAAGACTTTTACATCGCATATTAAATATAATAGAGAAACCATGTAATTTTTCTATCATATATTAATCATAAATAAAACGATTGTTCAAACAATTACAAAAAAGCTTTTGAGTTTTTCTTTTTATCTGATAAATGTTAAGTAGGGAGTTGCAATTATGAGTCCTGTCCACAAAAATGTAGACCCAAAACTCCATATAAGCAAGTATCGGCCAGTATTAAAACATTTTTTTTTGCAAGATTTTTAAAATCGATATCATCCATTGGTTTATATGGTCGATAGTCAAGTGCTGCAAATTCAACACAAACAACTTTAATTTTTCTGCATAATTCGAATTAGAACAGTTGATTAATTTTTGTTTAATTTTGACAATTATGAATATGCTTATATAGTGAATTAGTACCAAAAGATGATTTATAAATAAGTAAATCTTCACATTGATTGCATAGAACATATTCTTGGTTCATCTCATTTTCATAACTAGAACAGAGACTATTTCATAAAGCTAAAAATGTTGGTGTTACTGTTGGTTTAACGAATTTTGTTTATCAATTAACTGTTCAATTTCATTTTTTCTTAAGATAATGTTCTTTACAACTAACGAAAAACATTTAATTTGTTAAGCATTGAATGATGGAAAAAAGAAGAACGGGAAATGACTGTATATTGACTTTTTTTTCTGAGAGTAGCCAATAAAAAGCTAAAAGTTTGATGCTTTACTTGTTCATGTATACATAGGATGCCAGATATTGGTGGAAAAAAAAACTCGGATCTAGATCTATCGGGTCTAGAAGCTTAGTTTTTCTCGGATTCGGATTCACATTTTTCAGACAGGTAGATTTCGAATTATCGACTATAATTTCTTTTTTGATCAATTTTATTGAAAGTCAAGAAACAAAAAATAGTTTCACTACGACCGGGTACAAATATTTCTGATTAAAATAGAATATACACAAAAAAATTTACCATCACACACAATAATTAATCACTGTGTCATTAACAATAATAATCAAGTTAAAAAAAAACTTTATTATCTTTGTTGAACAAGTGAATTTTCTAAACAAATAAGTACCATAAAAAGTGGTAATAAACTCGTACAATATTCAAATTCTTTATGATTATTAAAATCCACAATTTGTTTAGTTCGTATAAGTGCTAATATTGTATTTAAAACATTTTTACCACCAACTTTATCTTCAAGATAAAGACGTAATTTATATATAATTTCTTCTGGTGTTGCATTTACTTTTTGTGCTTCATGTACACAATGAAGACCATCAAGATAATCATCTGTTGTCAACATTGGCATTGGTGGTGTTGTTGATGATGAACAACAAGTTTCAGACTGAACATTTTCAGATGAAAATGATGGATCGTTCATATCAATAATTTAATCAAAGACAACGTCAAACAACTCAATGACTATTTTTTCTTTAAATTTAGAAAATGAGTTAAGGTCTTATGATAAGTATAATAGATTGATGATAGCGACATTGAAGATTTCGCCAATGAAAGTTTATATAATACAGATGACAGTATAATACAAGAAAATTTTTTTTGTTTTTATTAATAATTAAAATATTCGAAGAAAAATGAATATTAATACTAAAAAATACATTAATCTTATATATATAGGAGAATGACATTCTCATCTCTTTGAATCCCGAAAAAATATTGAATAAAAATTGAAATCGAACCGGATGTAATTTTACCTATTCGTTTTCATTAATGTCCGAAATATGATGTAAGTGTGTGAAGGATGAAAGTATTCGTTTTATTATATGAGCTAAAACAGATCATATTATGTAATAGGAAAAAAAAGTCTATTTATTTTATTGTAACACAGTAATCCTTTCGTACAAATTCTTTCAAGCATAATTATTCATATTATCTGATTATTCTTAATCGATGCATTATCAACAAAAGAATATAATTCATTGGTATTTCAAACAAACTCTTTGCGCTTTATTACTTTTGATACAATTATATTTATATTAGCTTTAGTTATTGGATCAGACGGAACATATTTTCTGGTAACTACTCAACAACGACAAACGTCTTTATACAAACACAATATGTTTTGTTTTAAATATCATAGATGAAACTCTTTTATTCAATATGATTCATATTGATCAGATACCATAAGGATTATAAATTCGGATGTTTTTTTTATTGACAACTGAGATATATGTAAGAGATTGGTTTTTTTTTGTATTTTCAATGTTATTATTTCATATTGGATGTAATGAAAAATTCCACTGTATAAAAAATATACCTAAGATTTTGTTCAATTTCTCTTATTCTATAGTAACAGATTCTATGACATTTTTTGATTTAGGTTGCCAATAGCTATGCTTATTATTGGTTTTGGTTTGATTGATAAATCGAAAATTTGAGCGAATAAAGCTTTACATTCATTCTTGAATTACTCTCAGACTTTTAGAGTACTTCGTTTTATTTTCGATGTTCTCCGACATATTTTGTTGATTAGTTTTTCTTTTCAAGAACATGTCTTAGATGGAACTTATTTGGTTTATTCAATTGGAAAATGTCTATGATTTTCACCTCTATTAGAATGAAACATTCAATATTCTATAAAAATGAGCAATATGTCAATGGCATTTTCATGCATCATCTAAAGATTTAAATATAATTGACCTTATTTCTTATATTATAGAAATTGCATGAATATAAACTTTTCTGATATCAATCTTGTGGATCAATAGTTGTTGATCTAAAACATATTTCATCACGTATAATATAGGCGGTGAATAGTTGTTGTTTTTTAATAATATCGATACATCCGATTGCCACATTAATTGTGTATACTAATGATCAGATTATAGAAAAAATTTTATTTAGAGTTTTATAAACTTCAATGATATTTACTAGTCTAGCAAGATGAAAAAGAATATATCAAAAGTAGTAGATGATAAGTTCTCATCCATTCAAACAATGATATAATATCCATTGAATAGAAGCAGAATGATACAGAAATGAAATGGAATTAAATATAACGACGTTTACATCAGTGCAATTGATATTTAATTGATATTAATTGATATATCATTACCAATAATTAATACTATCTCATATGTCATTCATGGGCACATTGTATAGACTAATATTGATGAATGGATTTTGAGAATATATCACTGAAGTATAAAAGTGGATTGTTGTTTACTTTATTACTAATGCTAAAATAACAAAAATATTCTTTCTATATTACTTTCGTTTGTTCAAGTTTCATGAGCATTTTATCTCTGGAACTATGTAAAGAAGATAACTTTTTTCGAATGATGCTTGATTTCAAATGAAATATAAAAGTATAACTTTAGAGGATGTAATATAAGCTTATTATTCTTATCGTTTCATATATCACACAATATCGAATCCAAAAATCTTGCTTAGTATTTTTAAAGATAAAAGTAAATACTACAATTGTGTTTTATTAATGCAGATTCATGCATAAGAAAACTCTACAATCGTATAGCATTCGTCCTGATATCTGCTAATTACATAAACATTAACCAATATTATCAAAGTAATCTTTGTAGATTAGCTTCCTTGTAATACCAGACATGAGAAAAACGGATATTAAATTATGTTCTCCACTATTTATATTTAATAATAGACTATTCGAAACAAGTATGAGTGCATCTAATAAATTGTTTTGATGAATTTAGAGAATACACTAATTCAGGTGTAACAATTAAAGAAATATATTTTTATATTATTTTTAGAAGTATGAGCCAATGCATTGATCGGTGGCAGCGCCTGAAATTTTTCAATGACTTTTCTAAAAACTTTCTTAATGTCGAGAAATTTTGAAAAAGAAAGACAACGATGGTAGAGAACTTATTAAAAAGAAATCGAACGGTAACACCTCCAAAAACTGATTTGAAGCGTCGAAAATTTTTAAAGATTAAATATCTATTTTTGTGTCACATTGGTAGTAGCAATGACTCAGTCGATTGGCTTCCATCTCTAATTATACTATATTCATCATTTAAAGTAAAGATTGATTGTTTAGAACCAAAAATGAAATCTTATAATTCTAAAATGTCATCTGCGTCAAAAGCAGATTAACTGGCATATCAATGCTCGGTTTAATGAGTATGCTCATGTTTTTATGCAAAAAAATAAATCTAGAAATTACGCGAGTAAAATGAATTTCAATTTCTTCAATATGAATTTTTTAATCTATAATTCTGATTCTATGTTTTACATAATATTGTATTCGTACATATCAAAACTTTCTTCATTTTATTATTTAATAATAACAAGAAGTATCTTAACAGCAGAAAAATATATGAAGAATGAATGACAATAATCTTTATAGAAATCGTAGAAAGTCAGAAAATGACATGTCAAATGATTGAAAGCATCATTTTCTTCATATTCTACACATCCTCAAGTTAATACACAATTAAAGAAAAATAATATGGAAAAAAACGATTTTTTAATAGTTCTCTGTAAAGCTATATTTTTCACATTATTTATATTGTTTTATTTGTACGTGTATAATGTACATAATAAGTAATGATACAATATTTGTATTCTCAATGTTAATATTCAATCAAAATAGATTTAAAATCATTTCTTATATGAAAAATATTATTGGGTCATCTACACCTTTCTAGTCTATAAACATAATAAAATTAGAAATTTATCTATTTCATCAAGCACAGAAATTATTCTTTATTGAATTCTGTAATTGAAATAATCATTTATACAGAATGTTTACAATGATCATAAATCATTAAAAAATTCATGTAAAATAATTCAAAATTCAAATTATTCATGAAGACAGCAATGATAAGTTAGATATACTATTCAAAATTTTGATAATGACTCTCTTCAATAAAGTTGACAGCTGTGATACTTATCCATTGACAGCAAAATATCAGTAAGGACGACGTCTGTATCGCCAACGAATGATTTAAATTGCATCTAAACTTATTACTAATGTAACTAGTCTATTAGATAAATCTTAATCTTTTGTTTTTGCACTCACTTCAAATATGTCTAATCAGAAATCATCAACAGCAAAATTGTCTTTAACATATTAATTATATGTATTTTTTTCTAATCATTAATACATAAAATAGTATAGATAAGACTTCAATCAAATGAGTTTCAATTAAAATTACTACATATTCAGAATATCAAGAATGTCATTGTGAAGTTGAATATGTTCAATAGTGTAGTTACAGAAGACGTTGTTAATCATAATTCAGCACTTTTATCAAGGAAGAAAGTTGAAAGGAAAAGGTACAACTTAAGTCAAATTCAAGTACTTATTAAACTGCTCTTATGCATTTTTATTTTATGACTTAATCATGTAATAAATGTCTATATAAAGATTACGCTCGTTTTTTTTTGTCAATCTTCACATTACGTATATGTAACTATTGGTTAGTAAAAATGAACAAGATGATTTGAAAATTATTTATATTATTGATCATACTAAATAAGAAAAACTAAAATATTTCATAGTTTTTGTTGCAAAATTTCAGAAAACACGTAATGCATTATGAGTGTACTATAAGTCTTATGCTAATAATTTTTTTTTCATATTTTAAGAACATAAAACAAAAAAAAAGTTAAGAATTGAAGGACGGTAAAGCTTTATTGATAAATGAATGTTCATGTTTTAGACTTATACTATGTTTTTTTTTCAGATATGATGCTCTGGATACCTTATTTTTATAAATCAAATAAAGTTTTTAATTATTATTTAAATATAATATTAATAACAAAAAAATAAAAGCTTAGAGAAGATAATTAAATCTAGGTATTAGCAAAGTTCTTAAAATATATCATCACTCATTTGAATTGGATCATTATTTTCAATAATCAAATTTGAATTATGCAAAATCACAATAAGATCACGTGAAGATTATTGACTCATATTTTTCTATCCGCAATATTCTTTCTATTCGATAAATACAAAATCAATATAACTATTTCTTTCACTTGAATAAAATCTTACGTGTGACAGAAACGCAAAGGTTTGTAGAAAATTAAATATGATCAGATATGTGTCAACGTACAATAGCCAACATTGTATAAAATATTCTCATTAAAAAATTTACTTATCCGCATGATCAATTACATCAAATACACACATATTAGGTACTCAGACGGTTGCACACGATTAAAGAATTACAACACCATCATATTTCAAAAAAAAAATATACATATAAAAGAAAACTATTTGTTATTGCGTAGTATAGCTAAGCACCAGCTGGGCATTGTTTACTTTATTCGGGATAATGATAGCTAATGATCGACATCTAGCGCTCTCTATTAATAGTTATATATGGATTGCCTTATTATTCGACCAGTCTATCAAGAATTGACATGGTCGTTGTTGGTTATTATATGCATGCATGCGCGAAAAACTCTCTCTCTTCAAAGAAAGAGAATTTTGCTCTTCACCGTTCGCCAACCAGCGCTTATTGCTGCTCCTGATTTTTTTTTCTTCTTTTCTTCTGTCTCTTTTTACTTTGTTTCTTCACTTTGGTAACAGAGCAGAATGTATACCGGAGTTCGTTCGTTTGTCTGTCTCCTCCTTTGCGTCTCTGTGTCCCCTTAGTTGACATTTGACATCTGCTGTATACATATATATATATAGATATATATATATATGTGCATTTACTTACTTTCGAGCACAAAAAAAAGTGGGTCACACTATACAATTGAAGGACAATGACGCAGTATATAATCTTTCACGTTCTATTTTTTTTACTTCATTATTTTCAGATTTAGTTTCAAATGAATTAAATTTATAATCACAAATGAGAAGTGAGAATTAATTTATTTTTTTTCTAAAATTATTTCAATTGAAATATTTAATATTAATTTGTTTATAATAGTGGGTACTTATATTGTGGAATATGATTATATTGCTAAATCATCAGATGAATTAACAATACGAAAAGGCGATATAATAACTGATGCCGTACCAGCTGAAGATGGATGGCTTAAAGGGGAATGTCGTGGAACATATGGGTTTGTTTAAATATTTTTGTAGATTTCATTTTTAATTAAAATATATATTTTTTTTTCAGTCATTTTCCAGAAAATTTCGTTACTGTAAGTTGAATTTAGATTTCTTCTTTTTTTTCTGATTAAAATAACTTTTTTTTCTCTTCTAAAAGCCATTAACAAAAGAAAAAGCTAAAAATCGAACATTTGCAAATGAACTTGGATCACGATTACAATCAGCAGTTAACGCAAATAAAAGTGGTACATTAAGAAAACGACCTACAAATGATGATACTCGTGAGTTGAATTCTAATATTTTAAATTATTCAATTTTAAATATCGATATTTTCTTTTTTTCTGTACTTAAAAAAAGATATGTACGTATTCGCTCTATTTTCTTCAAAGAGAGAAAGCATTCATTTTGTCAAAAAAAAAAAGAATTTTTTTTTCTTCATGCTCTATGCTTTATTTTTTTTTTCGTTCTTTTATCATTTCGTCTCTTTGACTTCAAATGTTTATATTTTGATTTCTATTTTAGTATTTCAATCGAATAGTTTACCAAATGGAACATTATTTCAAGTTAAAGTTGCTTATGCTTATACACCTGTACATGATGATGAATTAACAATTAATCCAAATGATATTGTTAATGTAACACGTTTGGTAGGATTTAGTATTTTGTTTTGCTTAAAAAACAAAGAATTAAGTGAAAATTTTTAGGTTGAAGAAGGTTGGTATGAAGGTATTCTTAATGGTAAAGTTGGTTTATTTCCATCAAATTATGTTACACGTATAACTGATGAAACAAGTAAGATAAATTGAAATTTACTTGATATTTAAAAAAAAAAATATATATAATTAAATAAGGTAATAAAAAAGATCCACCAATTAAACGTAAACCAAATAATGTTCTTAATGCATTAGTTAATAAAGAAGTATGTTTTAATGAATTCTTTTTGTTTTATTTGAATTTTTATAATAATAATAATTAGATTAATAAATCAATTTCACCAGCATCAATAGAAACATCATCATTATCACAACAAAAAACTCCAGCTACACCACCATTATTAACAACAAAAAAAACAACACCAATCAAAGCACGTGTTTTATATGATTATAAAAAAGCTGCTGATGATGAATTAACACTTACAGTTAATGATATTGTTACTATTCTTGATAAAAATCTTGAAGATGAAGGATGGTGGAAAGGTGAACTTCATGGTCGAATTGGTGTATTTCCAGGTAGATTTTGTGTTTTTCTTTTATGATTGATTATTTTCATAGTTTTTTATTTTCTCGATTAGATAATTATGTTGAAGAAATTCTGACAACGACGACACCATCAATAGTTTGTTCATTATTTAAGATTAATAAAACATGCAATGAAGATTATGTTTGGTTTTTTTTAATAGAATTCGAAACATCGACCAAATACACCTGATGCAGGAACAAAAAATCTTTCTCAAACATTATCAAAAACAAAAACAACGAATGGAGGTAAAAAAGTTCATAGTTAAAAATTGTTAACATATAAGTATATTTTATAGATTCATCTCACGGCTTTTCTAATGATTCACATCATGCAAAGTCAACTTCAATTAGTGATGAAGAAGGTAAATAGAATAATAATCAAATATCTGTTCATTCGAACATATTATTTTATTAAGGACATGGATCACGCAATCATTATGCAGAAATTAATAATCTTGATGCTATTGGTACAACGGAAAAATTAAGTGGTTTTAATAAAGCAAGACCTGTATCATCAAAACGACCACCATCATCGACAATAAGAAAAATGGTTTGTTTTATTAGAGTAAAACTTTTTCATATTTGAATGAATACTTTTTTTTTTTTTATAAATAGGAAAATGGATTGAGTAAAACAACAGGTTCAATTGATGAAACAAATCATAATAATCGTCCACAAGTCACTGAATCTAAGGTTAGATTTTCATTGTGACAACATGATCTATCTAAAGGTTATTGATCGAAAAGTTTAAAATGAAAAATATCATTTTCCGTTTAAAAATTTATTCTTCGAAACATGAAAATTTTCAATAAACATTTAATTTCTGATCTTTTTTGTTTCTTTGTCCTTCGAAATATAATGAATCAATTCGATTTAATTTATTCTATTTGTACAGAATTATAATTATATTGGTATTTAGTTTAATTAACGAATATCTATTTTGTTAGTCTAAGATAAAAATTTTATATAGAAAACTAAAACCTAAGATGTTTTATCTTTTTCTTGATATGATTATCTATTATCATATTCTTTAGAATGAACGCAAAGTTCATACTCCTTCACCTCCATCATCTCAACGAGGTAAGATAACTTACAAAGTTTTTTTTTTTTTTTTTAACTACGAAATATAATTAAATTCTTTTCAGAACCAGGACAATTAGAATCGCCACGTTATACAAATCGTCCATCATCTCTTCATTCTACATTAGTAAATACTAATCAACAAGGAACATCTTCACTTAATAGTACAACAGAATTAGCTCAAACAGCTACAAATTCTTCATATGTTAATGCAAATATATTAAATAATAATAGTACAATAACAATTGATCAATTACAAAAAGATTTATTTAAAATGAAAATTTTAATGGATGATATGAAAATAAAATTTACCGATCAAATTCGTGATCTTGTTGGTGAATTAGATGAAGAAAAGAAGGCACGTGCAACATTACAAATTGAACTTGAACGTCTACAAAAACAAATACATAAATCTTCAATCGTCAATTAAAAACAATAATAAATAATCGACGAAAATAATAAATAAAAAAAAAAAGAATCAAGAATGTGAATAAATTTCGTCTTCCTTTTCTGACAGGTCTCGAAGAGAATTTTTTTTTTTTTGTTTTCGCATTTTGTTCTATCAGATACCTATTATCTTCTTTTCTTTTGTCCTACCTTTCTTAAATGATTGACTGATATAAAAATATGTTGTTCATTTATAAAAAAATTTATCATATCAGACTGTAGTTTTTCAACATTCCTCTCTATTAACTTTTTCTATGTAAAAAGTACTTTGTTTTTTGTTTTTGTTTTGTTTTTGCGAACAGTTTTTATGTTCATCTAGTTGAGTATGGCTGTTTGCGTAGATGCATATATTTGTTTTTCTTTCTTAGACAGCACCTCTATCCTTTGCTTTAAATGCATGAATTATATGAAAAAAAAAAACCGAAACATTGGAAAAAAATATCTAACCAAAGCTAGATGTGTAATGCTGTTGTTGTTGTTGTTGTTGGTTTATTTCTTTTCACTTCTCCTATGTATATGAGTATTTTTGTAAAAAATTTGTTTGTTGGTTTTCTTTTTTTTTTTTTCTAATCATATAGATTAAACGTAACATATTTGATTAATTGTCATGTTATAGAATACGAAAAGAATTATTAAAATTTTGATTTTTCATTTCAATGAATTTAAAAATATATATATATAAAATATTTATCAATGTTTTTTGATTTATACTTATCATTAGAATAATTTTTATATTAGTTGTCCTTGTTGATTACTTAGTCAATTAGTCCTGACTTCTTTCTTTATCATCATTTGGAAATAATATTTAACACTATTTTTAAATGTCATGATAATGTTTGTTTATATTCTCGGCTATAACTCAATTTCATAGAACGGTCTATTTGATTATTAGTTAGATCTTTGTCTAAGACTATCGTTTTTCTTGACATTATCAGATTCTCTCTATTCATAATATTCTTCTTTCAACATGCCCTACTTGTTGTAGTTTCTATTCTGTTATTCGAACGAAAGCTTTATATGATTTATTAAATTTATTCCTGAATAATGGTTCTTGCTTGCCTAGAGAATTTTCTTGGTTCTGCAAAAAAAAAATAAATTGCTTTCTATGATTTGATTCATTTGTATAGATGTATTTAATACACTTCAGATGATAGATAGATGGTGTATATTTCTTTAAATTATCTAATAGATTCAAGTATATTTTGTTTGCCTTTTTTCATATGATGAAAACATCTAGAATACTTTTTTTCTTCTTTCGAACGTTTTATTTTATAAAAAAGAACGAATGAAAATGTATATATCATGTTTCATATCGTCTAGGTGATGTCTTTGCAAGGTACTGTGAAAATCAACATATAAGTTTACAATGGAAATTTAACAAAAAATACACTGATTGACTAAAGATTTGGTTATGGAAGCTGGTAACATTTGCTATGAAAACTTTTTCTCTATTGAGACAAGAACCATTTGTGTCTCATTAGACTATCAACTCGGAAAAAAAACACATTTTTTACTTGCCATATTTCTTATATAATGTTGGATATTGTATTCTGTATACTTTAATCTTAAACTAACAATTTTCTCTGAATTCGACTAGTCATAAAAAAAAATTGATTAATATCATTTGTAAATCTACTTATAGATTAATTCTGAAGGTCAACTGTCATACGCTTATTTTGTTATAAATATTTTTAGACATCAACGTTACTTATCTTCTAATTGTTTTCTGTCATTTTTATTGTATGATTTTTTATACCCTTATGTCGTCTAATTTGCATCATATCCTTCAATTTGTATATTGATAATCAATAAATTCAAAGATTGATTAGTAGTAGTTCTACATTAAAATTTTCATATAAAAGATTTATAGAGTACTATCGGGATAGAAAACACAATAGAAATCTTGCCGACATCAATGCAATGCAATACAAAAATATTTTCCGGAAGACTAATTTTTCAGTTCAATGCACTCTGTTAAACATTCTTGATGTTAACACCTGAATAATTTTTCTATAAATTTGAATGTACCTACGTAAACATTATTATTAGTCTTTTTTTAGAAAGAAACTTACACTGTTAAGATTTACTAGAGTAAAATATTCGAAGTTTAACATTCCACAATCGATATTAAATAATTGTAAATTTAAAATTTTTATTATAATAGTTTTTGACAACTATTTGCATTTATTAGAGTAAACTAAAAGCAAATGGAATGCAAATAAACATATATTTTTACAGCAGTTAAGTACATTTGACTTGTCATATTGAATTATATATTATATATGAGTGTAGTGTTTGATTGAATTATAAATAAGAAGAACAAAAACATAAAAATATATGCTTATATGTAGTCGAAAACAATGTTTTGAAAACTTATACTTACGGTTAACTAAAAGTTTTAATAACATGAAATAAAAATTTTATTTTATTAAATGTTTAAAATAGTTGTCATAATTATTTATACAAAGTTCCATTCTCTATAACAATTTGTCAAATGTTTTCTTTTTAAATTCTCCTTCTGAAATTGTTTTAACTGTCTTGAAATATGCATGATTCAATAAGTTTTCATTTTTTTTTAATGATCAGTTATATTATGCTTGATATAATTATTGAGTCAAAAATCACATGATGAAAGGTCTTATGAAAACAGTGAATGGGATATTAAATCAACACCTTGTGTTCAATAATTAGTAACATCTGGATGACTATGACATCGAGCATGATCATGAAGTAATTTTATACGTTTTGCACTTGATGACTTTCTCTGTTTCCATATTTCATTGTCAACAGGCTTGAGGCAATTTTTAATATAATACTTGTGGCCTATAGTCTTGCCTATATCTATACTATGTACGTATAAGAACAGGATCATTTGATGCAAGAATATAAAAAAGGGTGTCATCATAGGTTGACTGTGAATCATTGTTGATAACCTATTGTATCAGTTCAATATTTACATTTGTCAGCTCGGAAACTGGATAACCAGATCGAGAGTCATCCTCCATGAAAAACACATTGTCCATCTTGTAACTATTTGATATGATGGCTCGTTAGGTTTGAATACTGTTATAACTTGTTTGTGAATTGTCTTTACATCGATCGAATTCATTATCCATTTTTCAAAAAAACTTTTTTCTGTTAGAATTAGATTTCATTTGAAAAAATATTAGAACTAAACTCAACATAAATTTATTATATATATTATTATAGATAAGACATTCGACTATCTATCCATGCAATATACTCTTAAATGTTAACTGGTCTATAAAATAGTCAGCAGTGTTAACAGAACTTTTGGTTAGACCTAAGCAGGCCATTGCTAATAGAGTTTAATATTAATATTAGTCAGGCTCCATAGTGTTACTCGACAAGAATATAGGAATTTAAAAGCACCATTGATATAGGATTTTCTATTACTATATAGGACACTGATTATCTCGAAGAGACATCTATTAGAAATCTAACGAACCGTACAACAACATTGCAAATTGTAGTTTGTTTTCTTCCTGCGTTTTATTTGATAATTAAGTAAAAAAATCTACTTTCAAATTATGGAGAATAATGGCACAACAAAATTTCTACTGAAGAAACAAAAAACAAATTGTTTTCGATATATTTTTTCAATTGTTTCACACATACATGTTCATATTATTATCAATAAGATCAAATGAATAAAGATTTAGAAAAGAAAGAAGTATTTTATGGTATTTAGAATATAAACTATATGTCTTCTCGTTACTATTATTGTATTTAACATACGTCAAAGCATATAATCAAAATATGTACAAATGTAAAAAAAACTGTCATCACAATCTCAGCACGACGAAGCTGTTATTATTGTAAGAGAGAGAATTCATTAAGTTGTTTTGGTTTATGAATTACCACCTACTGTTAATGTGTACGGTCATAACAGATGGTAATCGTAATATCTTATGGTGAGTTGAAAAGAAAGACAAAGAACAGCTATCTTAAATTCAGCCGTATCTCATACTAATCCTGCAACAGATCTCTGTCTCGCGAGTATGGTCATTATGTTGTTTCATTAGGAGGAAGCAGTTATAATAAGATATTTACCAAAGTGACGACTAAAGAAAGGTGTTATCGAGGTATCGTTTACCATCTGTGGTGTATCTTTGTCACGGTGCCTGTTACATCAGTAGAGACAAGACATAGTGCACAGCCAAGCGACTAGATTATTTTGCTTGATCTCTAATTTTTCGAATATTTACTTTCTGTTAAAAAAGCTTTGTTCAAAAACATAGAAAACTCTTTTTGTTTAGCTTCTACCGTCTGTCCACTGGGCGAGGAAGAGTCAAATTTTTACTCATATACTTCGACACTTTCTGCAGATTCTGTTTGACAAAAAGAAAAATCAGTCATCTTCGGCAAAGACTTGAGAAAATAAAGTAATTTCGATGAAAATGAAAAGCAAGTAGTGAACATATGTAAACTCGTTGCAAAGATGGACACAATTCGATTCTGTTCTGAAATAAATTCATGCAGTTTAAAACAGTATTTCGATATGTGATGCAAGAAAAGTGAATAAAAGAAAAGATATTATAATTAGAAATGAAATTATTGATATATTTTCTAGTCTTTTTTCATCTAAGAGAAACAGAACATTAACAAAGCAGTTCTATTGTTTAGAAAGAAAAGCATTTCCGTAATGTGATCAATTTGATCAGATTCGATACAATATCAATATTTCTTTTCTATTGAGTACAAATATTTTTTTCAAATATTCTGAAATAAAAAATTCATCTATTTTCATGAGATAACTTTCTTTGACAATTTAAAAGAACGGTGTTACATTCAAAATATAGTTCTTTTGAAATTTATATTTATAATAAAAAATAAATACTACTTTTCAAATAGGTGAACAGTGAATATAATCAAAGAAAAAGAGATTAATGAAGATTTTAACAAGTAAACGAAGACAAATCACAAATCAATTTTATTTCAATATTTCTCTCATTGATTAAA